GAGAACAAAAGTTTTACCAGACATTTTATCTCAAGGAGTCTAAATAATGTAGAGAGTAATTACAATTATATAATCTTTAACTCCATCAAAGATCCGAGAAGGGAATAAATATTATTTAACTAATGAGCGATATCCAAAGCGTGCCATAAATGACAGAGACAACAGACTACCTGGGCAATCACCCAAATTCTCGTTCGCAATGTTGAGTCAACCAACTTTGGCTAAGGCCTAGCATGACTGACATACCATTATCAAATGCAAGGAATTTTTTTAGAATTATCCTACCCTGTCTTGGCAAGATAAGAAAATCCTGTTTTATATCTTTGTCAGTAGATGAGGTATGGGCTTTTTTTAACCCAAAGGCCAATTTTGCCAAGAAGACAAACTCCCAGTGGAGTGTCTTTGGTGCTCAACGTTCTCTCGGGAGTAGAGTGGTGTCGCCAGGAGTAATTGTGTCTCGGCACAGAATTATAGGTTAGCTTAAAGGCCATTTTCTACAGCTCTTTAAAGAGGCTGAAGATTATACTATCTATACTAAATATAATCTCTATGTATCTAGAATACCTTATTAACCTAAAAATAAACATGAACAACATAAAATTCTCAATACCTATCTAACTTGAAGACTAAAAAAATAAACAACTGTGCAATACAAGAAGACAATGATCTTCATCTGTAAACAATGTCATTACATATCAAATGTAAACAATGTTATTACATAAATAGTATCAGAGGTAGAAATGTACATTGTGATATGGTAGATGTATCAATACAATATAAGTATACTCTTATACAAAAATAGAGGTAGGAACACTCACATTCAATATTTAATATGTCAATACACAGGAAACAGTACCAATACAATTTTCTAAAAACAGTAACTCACAAATACCAATCATCCCATCAAACCAGTTAATCCCCCTTTTTTTTTTTTTAACATACCCCTAACTCCATAAAACATCTCCCCATCCCCTCAACCCCAAACCAACCACTAAAAGATGTCCCTAACCCTGAGGGCAAACTCTGTTGGGGGAGGGGACGCCGTCCTCTGGAGGGCTTATCCCTACATACAGTCTTTCCCCTACCATGTTACTTTTTCTAGTTTAGTTAAGTGAGTTTTCAAAGCTTCCCTTGAAAGTGAGGGCTGCACCGTGGGCTCTTACTTGTAACTAGGCTAACAGGCTAGGAGTCTCAATGGTGGAGATGGCCAGTCCATTGAGGGATCAGCAGGCATCTTTGGCCTGCTCAGATTCCTGGAAGATCCTTTCACATCTAGCAGGGAGGATGAGCAGTTGGCAGGCCATGGATACATATATTTTCTGAATCTATCTTTAGAATACTTCCCAGGCCCTCAGCTACACCAGCAGCTCCGAGCACAGATCTCTAGGAGTCTGTGTCTCCAGAAGTAGTTTCTCAGCCAGGAAGGCAGGAAGCGGCTCCTGGAGCTAACTATAGGACATCTCTGCAGCCCTCTCCCAGCCTTCCCTGTGTTAGCAGCTCCAACTAGAAACACCCCCTCACCCCCAGTTTTGGAATTGGAGCTGCCATTTCCTGGGTGCTGTGGATTCTTTCCTTTTGAGGATTTCGCAGTGTAAATCCTGTTATCAGCCTCCCCCCTTGCTAGAGCAGGGCTCTACTTTCTCTTGGCTCCCAAAGGCATTTATAGCCTGATCATTCTCTTTCCAGCCACCAGGATCAACTTTGCCGCTGTCTTTTCTTCTCTACATCTTTGCAAACTTCTGTGCTTTTAAAATCTCTGTTCTTTTAGCCTTTGTAAAAGAGCTTCAAGAGAAGTCAAAATGCGGTGGGATAGTTAAGTGGAAAAAAAAAGAGAGAAGGAAAAATGAAAGGACATGACTGCTCCTAGGTGCGGAGGAGGAAGTTTATTGTAGATAAAACGGGAAGTAGAGGTAGAAGCAGGGACATCTGGGAGAGTCCAGAGTGGACGTGAGCAGGCTGAGCTCCACCACGTGAGAGAGAGGAGGACGGGAGGAGAGGAGAGGGGAGGATAATCCAAAATGTCTAGTTTATGCAGGGAAGAGCCTCTGGGGGAAGGGCAGCCCAGCCCCAGGGCTGGAGAGTTCTGGGTAGCAGGCGGGGCATACTGCGATCCATTGTTGTAACAGGTAAGAACCTAACAGGTAAGAGCCTAGGGATGCCAGGAGAACCTAGCAGCCAGATCTGCGGTGACATGTTAAATAGGCACCTGGTCATTAGTCCTGGGTTTGAAACTTAACAATAGTCTATGCTTTCTATCCCTTGTTTATTTTGTTGTTACTTGAAACAGAGTCTCTATGTATAGTCCAGGATGGCCTCAAGCCTGGAATCCTCCTGCCTCAGTCTCAGCCAGACACAGGGTCTATTTTTTAAATTTTTAAAAATTATTTATCTTGTGTGACACATACATCATAGTACATGTAAAAGGTCAGAGGACAATTACAGGGATCAGTTCTTGAAAAGTTTCTGTACCCCATAAGCCCCTCTGCGGATGCTATAATCTGAATCAGACCAAATCAAACCAAATTAGAAAAAGCCCAGGTTTAACGGATACCAGGGCTCCTCAGTGGCTTTCCAGTCCCCCAGAGAGAAGCCGGAAAAGGAAGACCATAAAACCATATGTTTGTTGGGGGTGGGGGGGCAGCTTAAATACACTGTGGGAGTGGTCTTGAGCATCTCTGGGGAGGAGTTATTGTTTGTCGGGGTGGAGTCTGGACTGAGGCAACTCCCAGGGGAGGGGGCTTGGGATGGAACTTCCACCCGAAGAGTTTTCTCTCTCCATCATGTGGGCCTGGGGATCAAACTCTTGTCAGGAACCTGCAGAACCATCTTGCCAGCCCCAAAGGATCGATTTTTAAACTCACCGCTAATCCTGCCATTTCACTCAGCAGCAAGCAGATTTAGCTGCCTGAATTTCCTTGACTCTTCCCAGGGCTCCTAACTGGTCAGTAATCAGCCCCCCACCCCCCACCCCCAATCAAAATGTCATCTCAGGACATGTTAGCCAGTGGTAAACTTTGGTCACCAAACAAATGTCTCCTTGCTCGTGCTTGCTGCTGTTGTCTGGGCTATCATTAATCTGAATTATTCATTTTCATAAAGTCAGTGTCGACTGTTCCAACCATGAAGTCGGTTAACCAAATGCTGGAGACATGAGTTCTAAATAAAATAATTTGTTCCTTGGGCTCGACTTGTCAAGTAGCATTGTTGGTAGTTCTCTCCCCCTGGTTACCTTCCCTGGAAAACAATGTGTTTGTTAAGTGATGGCTTTAGTCTGCCTGGAATGAGGAAAAGACGAATATCTGCTTTTACAGTTTGGTCAGCATATACATTTTTTTTAAATATTTATTTATTTATTATGAGTACAATATTCTGTCTGTGTATATGCCTGCGGCCAGAAGAGGGCACCAGACCCCATTACAGATGGTTGTGAGCCACCATGTGGTTGCTGGGAATTGAACTCAGGACCTTTGGTAGAGCAGGCAATGCTCTTAACCACTGAGCCATCTCTCCAGCCCTACATTTTTTTTTTTAAGTTTAGCATTTTCCTCTAGATTTTGTTTTCTTGCTGGACGTGGTAGCTCATGCCTTTATTCCCAGCTCTCTGAAGGCAGAGACTGGCAGATCTATTTAAATTGAGATCTATTTATATTTAAATTAAGGCTGTTTTATGTAGTGTGCTCCCAGCCAACAAGGACTTCATTGAGAGACTCTGACTCAAAACAAAACAATAACAAAAAGGTTTCTTTCTATTAACGAAACTGGTACTCAGTTCAGCAGGGAGAACCAAGAATTGTCAACGAGGGGAGTGAATTTAGAACCCGAAGTATGAGAACCACCCCCACCCCCCAGTTTACAGGCCTTCTGCAGGCGGAGCTGTGATGGGGTTCTGCCTCCGCTGCTCAGGGCTGGAGAGCATCTGCTTTATTGTCCAACTGAAACTGAGAAGGGAGGGAAGGAGGGAGGGGCAGCTCCGGAGAAGCGACTTCTTCTCATTTCTGTTGCCCACCAGCCGAGGCTGGGGAGTTATCACAGGCTCAGCTTCTCCAGGAGCTAAAGAGAAGGTGGGGATCACACCTGGACAGATGCTGAGGCATGAGGAGGAGCATGAGGCTTTTCTGTTCGTGTCCTAGGTTCCTTGAGAGGTCTGAGTGACCCTGGTCCATGGGCACGTGGACCCATAGGGCCATGGAGTCCTTTGGGCTGAATCCTGTCCTGCCAGCCAAGAGCTCCCAAAGCATCTGCCATCACAGATATGGCCTAGAGCAATGGTTCTCAAACTGTTAGATCCATTGGGGGGGGGGGGGGGGGGGGGTGGCAAAGCACTGGGAATGCCCAGAGTACAAAGAATGAGGAAGGGAAGGGGGGGGGGGGGGGGGGGAGGGTGGTCTAAGGACCTTTTCATAGCTGTTGTCTAAGACTATCGAAAAAACACAGATATCTGCATTATGATTCATAACAGTAGTAAAATTACAGTTATGAGGTAGCAGCAAAAATAATTTTTTGACTGGGGGTCACCACGATGTGAGGAACGGTACTAAAGGGTTGCAGCTATTAGGAAGGTTGAGAACCACTGGCCTAGAGGACCGAAGGAGACCCCACAGGACCTCTGAAACCAGAACTAGGTGGCCCAGCTGCATCTGAAAAGGAACTGGATGCCAGGAACACCGGTAGGGCTGACCAACTTCTGGTTTGAATCTTCACAACCACTCACAGCTCAACAGTACTGTGTGCACGCAGCACCAAAGGAAGGTCTCCCTTCTAAACAGGCACTCCGGACGGCGGCTAAGGGAGGAGAAGCTGGCTGTGACCAAGGTCCTTTGGACTTTGAGGAAGGAATTGAAGCCTGAGAGGCGGGGACAAATCTGCCTGAAGGCTACCGGGCTTGGGAGGGTAGTACCTGAGCAGAAGCAGGAAGGGGAGGAGGCCAGAGAGGAAACCCGGGTCACCCAGGCTCCTGCTGAGCCGGCGGGGCGGGGTCCTGCGTGCAGGTGAGCGGCTGGGCAGGGCGGGGCGCAGCTGCGTTTCGGTGCCTGGGCGCAGACACAGGCCTTGGTCGCACTCTGCGGAGGCCGAGGCGCCTCCAGAGCCATGGCCCGCTCGGCCTGCGGGTTCTCAGTCGTACTGCTGGGCGCCCTGCTGCTGGGTGCAACACACCTGCTACACGGGACAGGTAAGCAAGCTGTGGCCAGGAAAGCGCCTGGACGTGGCGCACGCGATCCGACCCGGTGGCACGGTCGGAGAGCTCTGGTGGCGCGACGGGCCTGGGACGCTGGCCCTGCACGCAGGCCGCGGCACGTGGGAGTCCTGAGCCTGGGTGAGCTCCGCGCTGGCCAGGAGCGAATACGCGCGGGGAACAGGATTTAGGGATATGCACTTAAGGTGACACGTTGTGCCCTGGGGACTTTGCTGAGGCTCTTAGAGAGCTACGGGGCATGAGAGAGCTTTCCTCTCCGGGTCACCCTCCACCTGGGCCAGAGAATTGCTAGAAGGCCATGATTTGACGTGCCACTGGGTATCTCATGACCTGTCCACGGGCCCCGTTCTCCTGAGGTCCTAGAGCATTAAGTCGAAGGACAGCTCTAAGTGGACAATCACGGGCCGAGTGGACAGCCGTGGGCGTCCAGCTGTGGAGCCCCACAGGTGCCCCGCCCCTTTCTTGGGCGGAAGGCTGGACAGTTGTTCCATTGAGCCAGTGAATTATCGAGTAGGTTGGGAGCAGGGACTGCCCTGATCCGGAGATTTGCTCCAGGAAAGAACCGGAACTGTGGGCCCTGGGCGTAGAATACGGTGAACAACTAGCTTCGTTTAAGCAAGAACTTGGTGTGAGGCTCCTTCTCAGACTCGTACAGGGTTGTTTTGTTTTGTTTTTTTTAAAAAAAAGTTCTGTGCAAACCGCGATTGACATCTGTGATAGCTTTCGCAAAGCCCAAGGAGGTTTTTGTGTTTGACAGGTAAATAAATTAGCATAAATTAAAGAATAAAACTGAAATGGTGGGGCGAACTTGGGCGTAAACCTCAGGGAAACTTCCTGGTTTCTTTTTCCAACATTAGGTGACACATTACTGCATAGCAGATAGAAAAATTTAAGACCTCATTTGAAATCACACACACACACACTGTGGTATGTATTTTGTTGTTGCTAGAGTTTGGTTTGTGTTTTTCTGAGGCTGGGTCTCCCTGTGTAGCCCAAGCTGGCCTTGAAATCACCGAGTTTCATGCCTCTGCCTCCAGACTGCTAGAATTCATTACAGATGTGGACGCCTACTGTGCTTTCTTAGGACTAAATTTTCAGTCAGTTAAAGGGGCAGAGTGTGTAGTCTAGCGTGTAGAACGCTTGCCTAGCATGTACAGGGCCCTGGGTTCAATTCCCAGTGCTTTATAAATTGAGCGTGGTGGCTCAGACTTGTGATCCTAGCATTCTGGAGGTGGAGGCGGAGAATCAGGAATTCAAGGTCATCCTCAGCTACGTAGTGAGTGCTTGGCAGACCTGGGCTGTATGAAATTTTGTCTTAAAAATATGTTTTAGGGGCTGGAGAGATGGCTCAGAGGTTAAGAGCATTGCCTGCTCTTCCAAAGGTCCTGAGTTTAATTCCCAGCAACCACATGGTGGCTCACAACCATCTATAGTGGGGTCTGGTGCCTGCAAGCACACACATAGACAGAATATTGTATACATAATAAATAAATATTAAAAAATATGTTTTAGAATAAAAAAAATAGGGAGGGAAGAATATGTGTGCATGAGAGAGGGGTGGTGTGGCGTGTGCCAGCTCTGTTGGAGAGAGGTGACACTCTGTGGATTGTCTTGAGATGTTTCTGACTTTCTATGATAACAGTTGAAAACTTCTCCAGTAAGAACGTGGTGTAAGTCTGCTCATCACCGAATACAAGATCTGCAATCTGCTCTGCACTGGCTTCTGTCTGTCTACACCACATGGAAGTAGACGGTTTATTCTTAGACGCATAGGAGTGATCATACACAGCCTGGGAACACGGATTCTGGAAGAGGGTGCGTGAACTTTCATGGTCACAGAACAAAAGGAAGTTACAAATCAAGGCATCGTCTAAATACATTGGTGGGGACATCAGTAGGTGGGCTGCTTCAAGTGGTGAACCCCCTGGGCTTGGTCTCAGATGTCCAATGACATCTCGGCTGTTGGGATCACAGAAACTCATGATCTCCTAAGTTATTATAATCAAAGAGTTTTTACCTGAAAGATGTTAGTTCATATGCCACAGTGAAGGGTGATAAATGGCCATTGGGGGAACTAAAGATTGTCCAAGATCACTTTAGCTCAATCTGCAACATTCTGACTCTCCGCAGTTTGGAGGTCAGGAGAGCCTGCTAGTCTGCTGGACCTTCAGCGTACATGTGGGTCTTCAAAGTGCCTCACTTTGCACGTCACACGTCTGACAGACTCGAGGAGGCTGTCCTTTGGTTCCCAGAAGCTCCACTCAGGTCCTTCCTTCCCAGAAAGTCTGGGGAACCTGCATTGTGTAAATACCAGGAATTTTACCCAATTCACTTTCTTCCTCTGTGACCTCAGGAGCGGGGCCCCATGAAGTCATATAACAGGTTGACTCAGCGGTGCACGGTTTTCCTGAAGTCAGGCTCCATCTTAACTGGCGGAGGCCTCTGAGGAGCTGGCACAGTGACTGGTTGGTGACACACCCCTGACCTCTCAACAGAGAGTGGGAGTAAGCGTGGAGAAGGGTAAAGGCAAGCGTGGGATGGAGGAGGCACACTCCATCTCCTACCAGCTCCTTCCTGACCGGGGGAGGGGGGGGCACTGGTTGGATCGGAATGAAAACCTTTTAAAACACCATGCTGCTTGCTCCCAAGAACTCCCAGATACCAGAGTCCATGTCAGTCACCATGTATTGCTGCCATTGTCCTTCCAAAACTGTAGAAGACACAAATTCAAATGAGGGCGCTAGCTGTTATCTGGAGGTGTTGCTAGTTAGTGGGAGGTGGAGTTCCAGGGCCCTCCCCCACACCCACAAATAGTCCCGGGGTGAGTCACAGGAGACGGTCAGGATTTCGTGTTGTTCACGGGCTCTCCTCACAATCACCTTTGCTCCCAGATAATGCTTTATTCCGCTCTAGGATAATTGTGACACTTAAATCATTTTTTAGAACTGGGGAAGGTAGCTGTTGCCTGGCCTGTAGAAAGCCCCGTTTCATTTTTGTTTGTTTGTTTTTTTGAGACAGGGTTTCTTTGTGTAGCTTTGGCTGTCCTAGAATTAGCTCACAGAGACCCACCTGCCTCTGCCCCCTGAGCACTGGGATCAAAGGTGTGCATTGTTGCTGTCCCCGCCAGATGGTCAAAGCCCTGGGTTTAAACCTAAGCACAACATAAACAAAGCCCGGTCTGCACAAGTGTAATCCCAGCACTCGGGAGACGGGAGGAGGTAAGAGGGTCAGAAGTTCGAGGTCATTGTATATAACAAGTCCCAGGTTCTACTGGGCTACATGAGTGAACACGCACACCACAGCTTTCATTCTGATAGGTCTATGTAGTAGACAGCTGTTAAGAATTACATAGCACAGGGCAGGAAAAGTGGCTCAGTGGGCTAATAAATAAGGCATTTGCCATCAAGCCTGACAACTTGAGTTCAGACCCAGGACCCACATAGTAATAAAGAGGCTACTCCCCAAGTTGTCCTCTGACTTACACACACACACACACACACACACACACACACACACACACACACACACTCGCTTATGGCACAAACCTCTACTCAGCAGTGCTAATGGGGGGTGGTAAGGAAGGGTGAGCTCACTGTGTGAGGTGGTAGAGAGTAGCCAGACCCCTGATGGGGGCAGGGGACTTGTAGCTGAAACCCTCAGCTTTGTCAATTAAGAAAAGTTCACACCTTTTAATTGTTACTTCAAACTGTAAAAATTATCCCGCAATCAAATTATTTCAAGCCACTCACCACAACCTTGTAATTAGCCCGTCACCTTCTTCTGAGAGACTGCAAACCCTCTAGACAGCCTGACCAGAGGAACCCAGTCCCAGCTCATCCCTTCACAGCCTTATGTTTGTATTTGGTTGGGGTTTTTTTATAAGCTTTAATTATCAGCATTGCTCTGAGGCCCCGCCTTTGTGAAACAGATCCCTTGTTTGTAATTTCTAGAATTACTGGCTACTGCCGCTCCTCCCAGCAGCCAAAGCATATGAAGATTTTCTGTGAAAGCAGCTGTAGTACTTTGTGTTTGATGTCTCCGCTTGACATCTGTGCTGAAAGTCAATCATCGTGATGCCCTAAATCATTATTTCATGGTGGGTGCAGTTATTAACCTGTTGTTCGGCCACACAGAACCCCCAGCAGGTTCCGAATGTGTAGTGAAACACAAATGTTTTTAATTAGACATGCAATTAAAAACCAGTGCTATATCACCAAGCAGTGGTGGCACACATCTTTAATCCCAGCACTCGGGAGGCAGAGGCAGGCGGCTCTCTGTGAGTTCGAGGCCAGCCTGGTCTACAGAGTGAGTTCCAGGACAGGTTCCAAAGCTACAGAAAAACCCTGTGTCGAAAAAAAAAAAAAAAAAAACTGAAAAACCAACCAACCAACCAAACAAACAAACAAAAAACAACATTATTAAAAGTGAAGTCCATACAGCAGTGACTGAAGGCTGCCAGGCCATGTATGCAGTTTGTCACAGATGGTTTCTTGGCATAGGGTAACCCACTTCACCTCCCTCTGTGGACACTCCGGGGTCTCTACCGGCTCCTGACCTCCTCAGTTCCTGGTACACGGAACACAAGCAGAGACTCTCAGCACATCTTTTTAAGTGTTGTTTGGAGCTACAAACGTATGTTTCCAGAACAGACATTGGTCAGAGTAACTTTGATGGAGGAAATAGAAGTCATAGTGTGTTTGAACAATTGAAAATGAGGCTCTTTTTCTCCTGAGAAAGTATAGGCAGAGAGGCATGGGTGGGCCTTCGTGTTCCCAAGCAAGAAGGCAGGCACAGAGAGCTGAAGTAACTTGCCTGACGTAACCTGGCTGGGCTACAGGGACGCTGAGGTGAATCTCGGGACTTTTGGTCAGCTTTGAGGTATTGTCTGCATCCTAGACACTACCCTTGATTTAAAACAACAACAACAAAAACCCCACATAGGACTTCGTATTATGTTTGCATTTTGTCCTAGGAAT